CAGGTGCGGTCTGGGAAACAACTCAACATTCCCCACCTTCCACTCTAAGACTCCAGACCAAGACCAAAGCTCACGTTCTGGAAAATGCGTGAGGCGTGAACGTGGACCCTGGGAGTCCCGTCGGGCCCATGTCAGCCGCGGGGAGTTCTGAGCTCCCATGACACGCGCTACCGCTGACGTCCCGACCGGAGGAGACGGCGCCGCGGCTCACACGGCGTGCTAATTTAGGCTATTTTAAGTCCACAATTAAACTACGTTCCCTTTTAGAATTATGATTTAAGCGGCTCAATCAGGCATTCATCGGACTTCCGTTCAGGTCACGATTTCATCATGGTTCGTGAGTTCGAGCCCCGCATCCTGACTCGCTGCTGTCAGCACAGAGCCCGCTTCGGATCCTCTGTCCCCATCACTCTGGCCCTCTCCTGCTCTCTCTCTCTTTCAAAAGTGAATAAAGATTAAAAGTATGATTTAGGGCCACCTGGGTGGCTCAGTCAGTCAAGCATCCAATCCTTAGATTTCGACTCAGGTCATGATCTCACGGTTCATGGGATGCAGCCCCGTGTCGGGCTCTGTGCTGACAGCATGGAGCCTGCCTGGGACTCTCTCTGACCTTCCCTCGCTTACACGCTCTTTCTCCTCAAAATAAACTTTTAAAAACGTATGATTTAATTGCTGAAGGAAATTTACTATTGTCAGACTAAACAGAAAATTCCTCACAGAATTTTCATCAGCTTTATTTGCAGGGTCCTTCATTTGGAATTATTTTTGCTTTTATACGCTGTATGCGCTCACAGCTGTGGCTTTTGAAACTTCCATGAGAGACCGGAAGGGGCAGTGTCACCGCCGTGGCCCTGTGCGCCCTGCACTTTCTCTCTCACACGCTGCACCTTCCGACAGGACCCCTCCCCGCGAGCGCCCTTCACTGTCTTCCAGGCCCCTAACCTTCGGAGTTTGGGTTTTAATCTGCTTAAAGAAAATCATCGCACTAGATTATTTAAAAACTATCCCCAACTGAGGCGCCTGGGGGTTCAGTCGAGTGAGTGTCTGAGTCTTGGTGCTGACTCAGGTCATGATCTCACGGGTTTGTGGGGTCGAGCCCCGGTTCGGGCTCTGCGCTGACAGTGTGGAGCCTGCTTGGGATTCTCTCTCCCCTGGCTCTCTCCGCTCCTCCCCCTCACATACACGTGTGTGTGTGTGTGTGTGTGTGTGTGTACGTGCGCACGCGTTTGCACGCTCTCTCAAAATAAGCTTTTAAAAAAACATTCCAGATTCTCACATTAAAGGTTTTGCTTTGGAGGTAACACTAGTGGGTTTTAAAAAGGAAAGCCGAGTTAGTAGAGTGAGCTCTTCTGGAGCGAGCCCCGGGGGCCCTCACCGTGCCGCTCGGGGCCCGTGCTCCCGGCGCCCCCACACCCCGGGCCCCTCAGTCCCCTCCGCGGAGCAGCATCTCTGGGAAGCCTGCGTGCTCATGGTAAGAGACGCACACGTCTAGGTGGGGAGAGGTGGGGACCACGGAGAGTCCCATTTCGGTACACAAGGCTAAGCTGTAAAATTTTTTTTTTTTTTAAATTTTTTAACGTTTTATTTATTTCTAGGAGAGAGAGAGAGAGACAGCGTGAGCAGGGGAGGGTCAGAGAGAGAGGGAGTCACAG